CATGGTATACAGTATAGTACAGAATGATACAGCCATCGTCAGCGACAAAGAATAACCACGTCACTCAGTGTGTGAGCCATGATGACTGACACAGATGGTTCTAGAGTGGTCAGCAGGCGCCCCACTAACACACACACACGCACACGCGCACACATACACACACACATACACACACACACACACACACACACACACACACACACACACACACCACACACACACACACACACACACACACACACGCACACGCGCGCACACACACACACACACACACACACACACACACACACACACACACTACACACACACACACACACACACACACACACACACACACACCACACACACGCACACGCGCACACACACACACCATCCTCAACACAGTATTACACCATAACCTTTGTGATCCGTTAGACTACTAATTACAAACAAAACGATGCCCCTATGAGAACTGCTCTCTCCTCCTGCTTACCTAATGAGAGAGAATTAATTCAGAGATCCTTAAATGGTATATTAATGGGAATCCTCCAGTCATGATTACAATTTGTGTTATCACAGGATATCTAGTTATATGGGAATGTTCTCCTATGTGCAGTATGAAATGTTTAACACTGTCATGCCATACGATAGCAGGCGACGTGTGGAAAGGGGCAAAGTATGGCAGGATAGGGGAAGGCATCTGTGGCCCTATGCCCCTTGTTCTATACCTTGTGGTCCCATGCCCCTTGTTCTACACCCTGTGGTCCCATGCCCCTTGTTCTATACCTTGTGGTCCCATGCCCCTTGTTCTACACCCTGTGGTCCCATGCCCCTTGTTCTATACCTTGTGGTCCCATGCCCCTTGTTCTACACCCTGTGGTCCCATGCCCCTTGTTCTACACCCTGTGATCTCATGCCCCTTGTTCTACACCCTGTGATCTCATGCCCCTTGTTCTATACCCTGTGGTCCTATGCCCGGGTATAGCTACCCGACCGCTGTCAGGCCTCGTCATGTCATACTTCGGGTCCGGAGAGTCCTAATGGTCAGTGTATGATTAGAATACCAGTTGGGGAGGGAGGGGGAAGGGGGTTGTCGCCTCCACAATTGTAGTGGCGACTGTAGTTGAAGTGGGGGTGGTGGCCGGGGTGGTGGTGGTGGGTGGCTGGGGTGGTTGTGGTGGTGGTTGTGGTGGTGGTGGTGGTTGGGGTGGTGGTTGTATTATTGGTGTAGTTCGTAGTGGTGGTATTGCTTTCCAAATCAAATAATATCCAGCATCAGTGTCGAGTGTGTATTATGGTATATCACTAACGATGAGCCACCATAACAATGATCCACACTAACGACGAGGTACTAACGATGATCCACACTAACAATGATCCACTAAGGATGAGACTTGCAATGTCGATGGCTCTCCCTCTCTCTCTATGGACCTACTTCCCTCTACCTTCCTTCCCTCTACCTTCCTTCCTTCCTTCCTTCCCTTCTCTCTGTCTCTCTCTGCGTTTCGTGGAGTTTAATGGACTTCAATTTGAGGCAGGCCAATTACCGCACTTTTTTCCTTTCAGTTGGCTATATCTGGTTTCCACATGTTCCGGTAATTGGTGGCGCTCAAAACTCAATAATGTGCAGGATGGCCACCATGCTGCCTTATGGCCACCATGCTGCCATATGGCCACCATGCTGCCATATGGCCACCATGCTGCCTTATGGCCACCATGCTGCCATATGGCCACACCATGCTGCCATATGGCCACCATGCTGCCATATGGCCACCTTGCTGCCATATGGCCACCATGCTACCATATGGCCACCATGCTGCCATATGGCCACCATGCTGCCTTATGGCCACCATGCTGCCATATGGCCACCATGCTGCCTTATGGCCACCATGCTGCCTTATGGCCACCATGCTGCCATATGGCCACCATGCTGCCATATGGCCACCATGCTGCCTTATGGCCACCATGCTGCCATATGGCCACCATGCTGCCATATGGCCACCATGCTGCCTTATGGCCACCATGCTGCCATATGGCCACCATGCTGCCATATGGCCACCATGCTGCCATATGGCCACCATGCTGCCATATGGCCACCATGCTGCCATATGGCCACCATGCTGCCATATGGCCACCATGCTGCCTTATGGCCACCATGCTGCCATATGGCCACCATGCTGCCTTATGGCCACCATGCTGCCATATGGCCACCATGCTGCCTTATGGCCACCATGCTGCCATATGGCCACCATGCTGCCTTATGGCCACCATGCTGCCATATGGCCACCATGCTGCCCTTATGGCCACCATGCTGCCATATGGCCACCATGCTGCCTTATGGCCACCATGCTGCCATATGGCCACCATGCTGCCATATGGCCACCATGCTGCCATATGGCCACCATGCTGCCATATGGCCACCATGCTGCCATATGGCCACCATGCTGCCTTATGGCCACCATGCTGCCATATGGCCACCATGCTGCCTTATGGCCACCATGCTGCCATATGGCCACCATGCTGCCTTATGGCCACCATGCTGCCATATGGCCACCATGCTGCCTTCATGTTGGGCCATACACTGCTGACGGTGGCCACCATACCAGGCCATACACTGCTGACGGTGGCCACCATACCAGGCCATACAGTGCTGACGGTGGCCACCATACCAGGCCATACAGTGCTGACGGTGGCCACCATACCAGGCCATACAGTGCTGACGGTGGCCACCATACCAGGCCATACACTGCTGACGACCCTAACAGCTCTCCACAGGAACACTAACTGCCAGCACTTACCCCGAATTAGATAATAACATAATTGATATGTTTCTGAACATCTGGTATAAATATACAAGATACTAAGGGGAGTAGGCTACAAGGAGGTCAAAGTCGCCCTCTATAAACTGAGAGAAAGTATAGAACGAGATAGAAGTCGAACCTGGAAACGCAAGAGAGTGTTTGAAACATAAGGAAGTACTCGTTCTCTGTACAGCTAGTCAACAAGTGGAATATACTGAATGAACACACAGAGATCACACTAACGTGATGCATCAAATGAACAAATCCACAAGGGCCGTGACGACCACACCACCACAGCACCACCACACACCACCAGCACACAATACAGCACAGCACCACCAGCACACACCACCACAGTACCACACAACACACCACCACCACCACACCACCACAGCACCACAGCACCACAGCACAGCACCACACACCACAGCACCACAGCACCACACAACCACACCACCACACCACCACAACACACCACACCACACACCACACCACCACAGCCCTTGTGGCCAGCGACCTTGTGGCCAGCGCCCTTGTGGCCAGCGCCCTTGTGGCCAGCGACCTTGCGGCCAGCGACCTTGCGGCCAGCGACCTTGTGGCCAGCGCCCTTGTGGCCAGCACCTTGTGGCCAGCGACCTTACGGCCAGCGACCTTGTGGCCAGCACCTTGTGGCCAGCGACCTTACGGCCAGCGACCTTGTGGCCAGCACCTTGTGGCCAGCGACCTTGCGGCCCGCGCCCTTGTGGCCAGTGACCTTGTGGCCAGCGACCTTGCGGCCAGCGACCTTGTGGCCAGCGCCCTTGTGGCCAGCACCTTGTGGCCAGCGACCTTACGGCCAGCGACCTTGTGGCCAGCACCTTGTGGCCAGCGACCTTACGGCCAGCGACCTTGTGGCCAGCACCTTGTGGCCAGCGACCTTACGGCCAGCGACCTTGTGGCCAGCACCTTGTGGCCAGCGACCTTGCGGCCCGCGCCCTTGTGGCCAGTGACCTTGTGGCCAGCGCCCTTGTGGCCAGCGCCCTTGTGGCCAGCGACCTTGTGGCCAGCGACCTTGTGGCCAGCGACCTTGTGGCCAGCGACCTTGTGGCCAGCGACCTTGTGGCCAGCGCCCTTGTGGCCAGCGCCCTTGTGGCCAGCGACCTTGTGGCCAGTGACCTTGTGGCCAGCGCCCTTGTGGCCAGCGCCCTTGTGGCCAGCGACCTTGTGGCCAGCGCCCTTTTGGCCAGCGCCCTTGTGGCCAGCGACCTTGTGGCCAGTGACCTTGTGGCCAGCGCCCTTGTGGCCAGCGCCCTTGTGGCCAGCGACCTTGTGGCCAGCGACCTTGTGGCCAGCGACCTTGTGGCCAGCGACCTTGTGGCCAGCGCCCTTGTGGCCAGCGACCTTGTGGCCAGCGACCTTGTGGCCAGCGACCTTGTGGCCAGCGACCTTGTGGCCAGCGCCCTTGTGGCCAGCGACCTTGTGGCCAGCGACCTTGTGGCCAGCGACCTTGTGGCCAGCGACCTTGTGGCCAGTGACCTTGTGGCCCGCGACCTTGTGGCCAGCGCCCTTGTGGTCAGCGACCTTGTGGCCAGCGACCTTGTGGCCAGCGACCTTGTGGCCAGCGCCCTTGTGGCCAGCGTCCTTGTGGCCAGCGACCTTGTGGCCAGCGCCCTTGCGGCCAGCGACCTTGTGGCCAGCGCCCTTGTGGCTAGCGACCTTGTGGCCAGAGCCCTTGTGGCCAGCGACCTTGTGGCCAGCGCCCTTGTGGCCAGCGACCTTGTGGCCAGCGACCTTGTGGCCAGCGCCCTTGTGGCCAGCGACCTTGTGGCCAGCGCCCTTGTGGCCAGCGACCTTGTGGCCAGCGACCTTGTGGCCAGCTCCCTTGTGGCCAGCGACCTTGTGGCCAGCGACCTTGCGGCCAGCGCCTTTGTGGCCAGCGACCTTGTGGCCAGCGACCTTGTGGCCAGCGACCTTGCGGTCAGCGCCCTTGTGGCCAGCGCCTTTGTGGCCAGCGACCTTGTGGCCAGCGACCTTGCGGCCAGCGCCTTTGTGGCCAGCGACCTTGTGGCCAGCGACCTTGTGGCCAGTTAACCATCTCAGCCTAGTTTGGCTGCACCAAACTAGGCACCAACCAGCGTGATTCTAATTGCGACAACGACCCCGATAGTTACCACGTAAGTCTTGTAACTCGCTCGTAACTGGGTAACGTTGGTAGTTCCGGCGTTACCATGTAGGGTTGAGATGGCGCGCATGTATGGTAACGCTGACAAATTGACCCCTAATTATAATTGGTAATATGGACCTTAAGTGCAGTTGCCATGTTGGTAAGATGCCAGGTTAACGAAGCAGTTACGCAAGTACTTTCGGACGTGTACAACTTTTCTCAATCTTTGTCGGCTTTGTTTACATTTACTAAACAGTTTACAAGCATGAAAACTTCCCAATCAACTGTTGTTATTGTGATAAACAACAACCTGGTGCCTCGGAGATCATTAACTGTCTTATAACTATAAACAAAGCCGCCAAATATTGAGAAAAGATGTAAACTTTCGTAAGTGCTTGCGTAACTACTTCGTGAATCTGGCTCCAAGCTCGTGTCTGGTAACGCTGTCTTGAGGCCTCTGGCACATAACTAGCAGTGTGAGCCCATCGTTGTTGTTTAAGATTCGCTACTTGGAACAAAAAGTTCCAAGTAGCACGGGCTATGGTGAGCCCGTGGAGTGTGCCCATCAGTTATGGTTGGCAACGGTGACTGTGGCGGGTCTCGTGACTGGGTGAAGGTCGCGAACTTGGTAACTCTAATCCGGATCTTATCGGACCTTTATTACCGTTATCACAGTACTAAAAATAATAATTAATTATCGTTACTTGAATGGCTAACGAGGACAGTATTGCCATCCAGACTCAGTCATGATGTGGCAACACTGTCAGCTGGGGTACTGGTCAGCTGAGTCAGGCAGTGTCCCAGTACCCACCTGACGATGTGGCAACAGTGTCAGGTGGGGTAGTGTCAGGCAGTGCCCCCAGTACCCACCTGACGATGTGGGCAACTGTGACAGCTGGGGTACTGTCAGGCAGTGCCCCCAGTACCCACCTGACGATGTGGGCAACTGTGACAGCTGGGGTACTGTCAGGCAGTGCCCCCAGTACCCACCTGATGATGTGGGCAACAGTGCCAGCTGGGGTAGTGTCAGGCAGTGCCCCCAGTACCCACCTGATGATGTGGGCAACAGTGACAGCTGGGGTAGTGTCAGGCAGTGCCCCCAGTACCCACCTGATGATGTGGGCAACTGTGACAGCTGGGGTACTGTCAGGCAGTGCCCCCAGTACCCACCTGACGATGTGGGCAACAGTGACAGCTGGGGTGGTGTCAGGCAGTGCCCCCAGTACCCACCTGATGATGTGGGCAACTGTGACAGCTGGGGTACTGTCAGGCAGTGCCCCCAGTACCCACCCGACGATGTGGGCAACTGTGACAGCTGGGGTACTGTCAGGCAGTGCCCCCAGTACCCACCTGATGATGTGGGCAACTGTGACAGCTGGGGTACTGTCAGGCAGTGCCCCCAGTACCCACCTGATGATGTGGGCAACTGTGACAGCTGGAGTACTGTCAGGCAGTGCCCCCAGTACCCACCTGATGATGTGGGCAACTGTGATAGCTGGGGTACTGTCAGGCAGTGCCCCCAGTACCCACCTGACGATGTGGGCAACTGTGACAGCTGGGGTACTGTCAGGCAGTGCCCCCAGTACCCACCTGATAATGTGGGCAACAGTGCCAGCTGGGGTAGTGTCAGGCAGTGCCCCCAGTACCCACCTGACGATGTGGGCAACAGTGACAGCTGGGGTAGTGTCAGGCAGTGCCCCCAGTACCCACCTGATGATGTGGGCAACTGTGACAGCTGGGGTACGCAGTGCCCCAGTACCCACCCGACGATGTGGGCAACAGTGACAGCTGGGGTACGCAGTGCCCCAGTACCCACCCGACGATGTGGGCAACTGTGACAGCTGGGGTACGCAGTGCCCCCAGGGTAATGGGTACTGAAGGAAAAAGTTTGGAAAGAACTCATTTAGATGTTTAATTGAATTATTTTGACCAATGAGAGATCTCTGCACGTTCCCCAGCTCAGCAACTTCCCCAACTTTGAATGGGACTGTTATTGTGCTACAGAATTCCGCCCTTCAGAGCACTACCTTGAGGTGCTTCCGGGGCTCAGCGTCCCCACGGCCCGGTCAGCACTAGTGTATTAAAAAGTATTGTAATTTGCCTTGTATCTCTTGTTTGAAAGCTTCTTGTTTTTCAGCCTGTCATTTTTCTTGCAGTTGTGACAAGTTCTCATTTCGATTACCTTACACTTGCTGGAATTGAAATCTAAAAGCCACTTCTCTGACCAAGTCTGCAGCTTGTCTAAGCCAACTTGGAGACTTAAAATCCTCATTTGTCTTAACTCTTCCAATGTGCATTTCTGCAAACATCAACATATAAGACTCAACTCCTGTAGACAGGTCATTAACATACATGATAACTAGTATGGGTCCCAGCAACAATCCTGAAGTACTCCGCTTGTTATCGTATGTCTGTCTGAATTATCGCCCCTTCCTCTGACTTTATTAACACATTTGGTACATCTGCATTTGTACAGCTGCCCTAGACTATGTGAAGGGGAGTACAGTGTGTCGAAAAGCTAGCTACGTGGTGCTAAAAATTCCCATCACACAGGATGGTTAGTCATACAGAGGCATGTGATAAGTAGTCTGCACTGGCAGACTCTGGGTGCATTATGAGGCTCTGACTCTTGTCTGTTGGGTAGTCCCCTTACCTACATCAGTACTCTTCCAAGTTTACCCACTTGCCTCAGCCGCGAGACCGTGTGTGTGTATATTCACCTAGTTGTTCTTGCGGGGGTTGAGCTCTGCTCTTTCGGCCCGCCTCTCAACTGTCAATCAACTGTAACTAACTACTAATCTCCCCCCCCCCACACACATATACTCCTAGGAAGCAGCTCCGTAACAGCTGACTAACTCCTAGGTACCTATTTACTGCTAGGTAACAGGGGCATGAGGGGGTGAAAGAAACTTTGCCCATTTGTTTCTGCCTGGTCCGGGAATCGAACCCGGGCCACAGAATTACGAGCACTGCTCGCTGTCCGCTCAGTTACCAGACCCCCCATGTGTGTGTGTGTGTGTGTGTGTGTGTGTGTGTATGTGCGTGTGCGTGTGTGTGTGTGTGTGCGTGTGCGTGTGCGTGTGCGTGTGCGTGTGCGTGTGTGTGTGTGTGTGTGTGTGTGTGTGTGTGTGTGTGTGTGTGCGTGCGTGCGTGCGTGCACCACGTATGGTTCCGGAGTGCGTGCGGCCTAGTAGCCTGGCCGGACCAGCAGCCTCCCCTGTGGTGTGTGTGGACTCGGCTGACTCCCGTAGCAGTAATTAGGAAACTTGCGCAGTAAGGATGTAAACTTTGTAATGTGGAAAGTTGGTCACTTCATTTAGTCCTAACTTTTAGTGTGTATCATGGTCACGGGATTTATCCGGGAAGAATGCCAGCCTCCATTATTACCCTGGCTGTGGGGAGGGGCGGGCGAGGGGCGGGACCAGTGACGGGGGAGTGGCAGCTCAGGGGAAGGGGAGTGGCAGCTCAGGGGAAGGGGAGTGGCAAGGAAGAGGCCGGAGGAAGTTACTGTATAAAAACGAGCAGTGAAGGAGTAATGTCAGTAAGCCAGCAGAGGTCAGTAATAAACTGTGATTTAGAAATTTATATATATTTTTGTTTTATATTAAAGTGTACATTGTTTTGTACACATGTGTCAACATTTTATAGTTACCTATTAAGAATTTATAGAAAACTGAACATTTCGTGACGTCGTCATAACAAGACGTTTATTTCCACACGTATATATATTAAACCTCTAATTATTCCTTTAAACAATAGTCCAGTGTTTAAACTTTAATAAAATAGTATTCACTAGGGCTGAATATAAATAAATACACCAGAAAATATAGCTTAGGTCCCTTGTTACTGTTAAATAAAATCAGCGTTGGAAGCAACAGATATTGTTGGAACGCCAGCCAGCTCAGGGAAGGTCACGGGCCAGATTCACGAAGCAGTTACGCAAGTACTTACGAACCTGTACATCTTTTCTTAATCTTTGGCGGCTCTGTTTACAACTATTAAACAGTTAATGAGCTCCAAAGCACCAGGAGGCTGTTTATAACAATAACAACAGTTGATTGGCAAGTTTTCATGCTTGTAAACTGTTTAATAAATGTAACCAAAGCCGTCAAAGATTGAGGAAAGATGTACACGTTCGTAAGTCCTTGGGTAACTGCTTCGTGAATCTGGTCCCAGAGCTTGTAAACAAAGACACGAGACAGGGAAGAACTCCCTGACAACTTTCTACAACACAGAACAGTTCTTCCTACGAGCTTCGCCACAGGATTCCCTACGATCCGACCAACCGGAGATCTCATTAACAAAGTGAAGAACAACTTTCGGTATTTCTATTGCCTGTAATACTGGCCATTATTATTGTTGGAGATGTTGTTAAGACACGGGGCTTCCAACCCATCAGAGTGAGTAGTGTTTGACTCAGCAACACAAATATTCATGTCACACCTGTACTTTATATGTTAATGGAGCCATTATTAAGCCTTAACTTTTTGCAGGTAAATTTAGTGATTTAAAGATATTGGGTGAGCTGCTCAACACAATTTTTTTTTATAGATATATACAAGAGTTGTTACATTCTTGTACAGTCACTAGTACGCGTAGCGTTTCGGGCAGGTCCCTGGAAGACGATCCCCGCCGCGAAGAATCCTTGTTACAACCACGTACCCATTTTACTGTTGAGTTAAACAGAGGCTACAGTTAAGGATTTGCGCCCAGTAAATCCTCCCCGGCCAGGATACGAACCCAGGACAAAGCGCTCGCGGAACACCAGGCGAGCGTCTTACCACTACGCCACAGAGACAGCAATCTGTGACGATAATCTGCGACGCTTATATACACTAGCTGCTACACAGACGCTACCCGAGTGCCAGCCACCATTTTGCAACTGAAGTACATGAGCCACACCCTAACAGCTGTCACACAGCCTAATAAGGCCGTACCTACAGTCACAGCGAGTCCTCACATTACTTTGTACTAACCCATGTTGACCATATGATAGACTAATACTAACCAATGTAGTCTAACACCATATGTGGTATAATTTGTATTCAAAGGTAAATGTTTATAGCTTATTATATGACAACCCATCTTGAGGTTATCTTGATATGATTTCGGGGCTAAGCGTCTCCGCGGCCCGGTCCTCGACCATGCCTCCTTTTTATTACACACCCCCAGGAAGCAGCCCGTAGCAGCTGTCTATCTCCCAGGTACCTATTTATTGCTAGGTGAACAGGAGCATCAGGATGAAAGTAACTTTTTGCCCATTTGTCTCCACCTCCACCGGGGATTGAACCCGGAACCTCAGGACTACGAATCCGAAGCGCTGTCCACTCAGCTGTCAGGCGCCCCATTGTGGAATAAGCTATAAATATCCCTTCAAACTATTTGTAGGTAAATTCTGGCAGGATGAATCAACTACACAGTCCGCTTAGAATCAATCATAAATATTGAAGTGACAAAAATTAGAAAATATTCACAAAGAATTAAAAAGAATAAAAGAATAATGCCTGCTAGTATTTTCCCACATCAGAGGCTGATTCAACCCCCACACAAGCCTCCATTACTGAAGTAGGGCTCTGGTGTTTACATCTTAATGTTTCCTACCTTCCTGCATCTGTTACTTCTCTCTGTGTTCCTACCTCCTCTCTCTCGCTCTCTTCCTCCTCAGTATCTCCATATTTACATTCTCCACCTTCTACCTTTTGCCTCCCTCCCATCTCCTCCACATCCCTCATGGCTCCATCTTTATTTTTCTTCCTACGGCAAATAATTATCTTTCCTCATTCCATCTCCCGTCCATCATCCATTTCTACTATCTACTCCCGTCTTAAACCACCACACGCGCGCCCGCCAGCCCCACCACGCGCGCGAACACCACGTGCGCGCCCGCCCGCCCGCCCCACCACGCGCGCGCCCGCCCGCCCGCCCGCCCGTCCCACCACGCACGCACGCGCCACCACACACGCCCACCCCGCCCCACCACACACGCCCGCCCACCACGCCCCACCACACTCGCCCGCCCCGCCCCACCACACCCGCCCGCCCCGCCCCACCACACACGCCCGCCCCACCCCACCCCACCACCCCGCCCCACGCCCACCCCACCACCACCCCACTCCCACCCCCACGTCACCACACACCAAACGCCCACCCCACGCCACCACACACGCCCACCCCACGCCACCACACACGCCCACCCCGCCACCACACCCCACCCCACCCACCCCCACGCCACCACACCCACCCACCCACCACACACACCCACCCCACCCCACCACACACACCCACCCCACGCCACCACACACACCCCACCCCGCGCCACCACACACGCCCACCCCACGCCACCACACACACCCACCCCACGCCACCACACACGCCCCACGCCACACACACACCCCCCCACGCCCACCCCACGCTCACCACACACCCCACCCCACGCCACCACACACGCCCACCCCACGCCAGTAATTAGGAGAGAAAGCATAAAAAGGAGAAAGACAACATTCCGGGGAATTACCGACGACAATTTAGGGACTTCTTAATTAAATTTGCCAGACCTCAACTGTGATAATAAATGATGCGGAACACAGTAACGAAGGAGGGGAGAGGAAGAGGGGAGAGGAAGAGGGGAGAGGAGAATGTGCGAGAAACAAGAGAACGGGATAAGGAGAGGGGAACGAGAAAGGGGATAACCAGGAGAAAGAGGAAAAAGGGAAACAGAATGAAAGGGAAAGCTAGTTGGAATAGAATGGAATGGAATTATCAGGAGAAAGCGCCAAGCCATTATGAGTATATAGCACTTGGAAGGGGTCAGGATAAGGATTTGGGATGGGACGGGGGG